GGGGGGTGATTTCTCGCTTTCTGTCTCTCTGTCTCTGTCTGTCTTTTTGGCAAGCACATGCGCCCTATGGCAAAAACCTCTCAAAAAAAAAAAAGAAAAAAAAGAAAAGGGACCTCAAGGAGCAGATGTTTTTTGTCCCCTTTCAAACCATTAGTTTTTCTGCTGGAAGAAACCACAGAGGTCATTGGTACAACCCTGTCACTGCAAACGAGAAGCCCAAGGGCCAGACCCACACAAGATCATGAGAATGGCGAGCAGCAGAGCTTGCAGCCGTGGTCCCAGCTCCCGAGTCCCTGTCCTGTTCTATTCCAAACACCCACTCTGCCTCCTCTTCACTCACGCCAGATGCATGGAGGTCTTCCCCAAAACTTGACATAGACACTCCTCTCGTCCTGTCATCCGTGAGAACTTAAATTCTACTTGTCCCCATGCAACATGACTTTGTATGAGAGGATTTGAGTTTTCTATTTCTCTCTCTCATTCTTCTCCTTTCCTATGAGGTCCCCTACTGTCCCATGAGGGAAAGCAACAGGAATTACATTTCATAAAAGAGTTTCTAATCAGTGGATTCTTCTCGAAACGTCCACATATTTAACTTATAAATAATAGTGTATTGTGTTCTTGCTCTAGTGGAGAGTGTGACATGGTTTCAGAAAACTTTGAAAAACTAGGAAGAGTTAATGATGTCCTTAAAAGAAATGTTTTTATTTATAAACATTGGATTCTTCACTCCCTAGCCTTTAAGAAGGCAATCAATAGTGACCATGAATTCTACAGAAATATCCTTGGAGAAAGGAAATTGTTAATAAATAAATGCTTGGGTGAAATAAACATCCAGGTAAATCATTTTTATTGCACATATTAACTTCATTGGATAAAGCTCTTTTCCTTCAGAGTGTAGTAAAACAGAAAAACTTGCACACTTTCTTCTTAGTTTAACAAAATATAAAATCTCACCTCTAATTCCTCAGCCTGTTCTGTGTTATCTTCTTCTGAGCCACTGGTTTTAGGTAAATAAGTCATTTTTAATCTCAGATAACCTTTAACTCTTGATCTTTGACTGTAGGAAAAAAAAGAATTATTCATGAAACTTCAACACAAACTGTTCATTCAATAAGATTTTTTTGAGCACCTACTAGCTACATGGGGGCATACTAGGGGAAGTTCAAAGACAGGTTCTAGTGTGGAAGATACCCAGAAAGAGGAATAGATGGTGGAGGAAAAGGAATTGTAAATAAATAATTGTTATGCTGTAAATAGGATGCTACAGATGTGTTTTTTGTTTGTTTGTTTGTTTGGAGAGGTTTTTGCTATAGGGTGCATCCGCTCGCCAGAAAGACAGAGAAAGATAGAGATAGAAAGCGAGAAATCACCCCCCAGGGGGGATGGCCATGCCGCAATCCCTTCTCCTCCATTCTCCTCTCAGGATCTTGGGCACGCACGCACACACGTCTGGCGGGAGTTTAAGCCACCAGGTCCGGGACTCAAACTGCGGTCGACTACATGGGAGTCCAGTGCCATAGCCATTATGCTAACTGCTGGTCCCAGGATGCTCAGATGTTTAAGTGAAAGATTAGTGAGAACTTCAAAGAGAAGTTGGCATTTGAGTTGGGGCTAGAAGATTGGAGGACTCTAATTGAAATCTGTGGCCTTGGTGGGAAAGGCATCTGAGGTGGCAAGAACAAAAACAAAGAAGAAGGAAACAGAGGGAACCTGGGTGCGATTAAGGAAATGGCAGCTGTCCAGTCCATCTCGCCTAGGCTGGCAAGCCACTGAGAATTTGGGGAACAGAGAAAGATTCTCAGAGTTGTGCTTTACGAATGTAGACTTGGCCACACTATACAGGATGACAGAGAAGCAGAGAGCAGAGCCAGGTGACTGCCTGAAACCTCCTGCCTCTGACAGCTGCTTGAATCTGTTATACATTAATTTATCTAATCTATTTTAATACTACATTATCTCTTTGCATAAGTTGTCCAAGCAAAAGGTTGCTGCCAAGGGACCAGCAGTTAGCGTAATGGCTGTCACTGGACTCCTATGTAGTCGACCGGGGTTTGAGTCCCAGACACGATGGCTTAAACTCATGCCAGGCGCGTGTGCGTGCGCGCCCAAGATCCCGAGAGGAGAATGGAGGAGAAGGGATGGCAGTGTGGCCATCCTCCCGGGGGTGATTTCTTGCTTTCTGGCTCTCTGTCTCTCTCTGTCTGGCGAGCATACTCCCCCTATAGCAAAAAAAAAAACCTCTTAAAAAATAAAAAATAAGGTTGCTTCCAATGTGGGAATATTTTAAAGGTTTCTTAAAATCTGTCTTTCATAAGCTTCTAGCCGAATGTAATTCCATCTATTGTCTCCACCAATTCCAGCATTCTAAGACTCTGGAAACCCATATTTCTTCTAGCTTTCTACATACTGGGTTGTTGGAAGAGCCATGATGTATGTTCCCCATGTTTTTCTATGCAAAAATGCATCCTGACTTTTCCAACAACCCAATAGTTTGCGTGAGTGGTGATTTTTACATATATTTGTTACATAACCGATTTTGCTTTGTCTTTGTAGACAAGAGTTCTACTCCTTTTACTGTCTTGAGATCACCTATCTACCCTCCATGACCCCCTTCATCTTTTTAGTTGCTCTTTTGGGTGTAGTTCTCATGGATTTGGCGAACATAGTATACCCTTTCCTGAACCGTCAGAAAAAAATCCCCAAAGCTTATTTCCAAACCCACTGATGTGGTCTGTCTCCATATTTAAGGAAGTGTGAACACTCTTGACTTGCTACTAGAAGAGATGGACACAGAAAATGTGTTCAAATGATGTTTGGTTGAAAAGTTTCTCTACAATTGCACAAGGGGTCTTCAGAAAGTTCGTAGAAAACCTGTATTATGAAACAATTATGCATGGATTTCAAAAATGTTTGGCACCAAAATAAACCCATACTTTCCATTCTTATACTTCTTGAGCTATCCCAATATATTTCATGTCTTTCCAACTAGAAAATAAGCCTGTGGGTTTTAACTTAATGGGCTTAAACAAATTTAGTAATGTAGTACATTTTCTGCTTGAATAAAGTTCTTTCTGCACTTCCAATAATACTCAATGCAGACAGAAGATATAAATTGCCATAGTTTTTTTAAAGATTAAAAGAAACTAGAAAGCATTCGACAAAGTGAAAAGTAGGCTACTAGGACGATCAAATAAGAAGTATTTATTTAGTTATTCTTGGTATGCAGATATCACAAGCAGTCTAAAAGGAAAAAAAGATTTACATTCCACACTTCTACAGAAATACCTGACTTACAGAGAGTAAATATTAAGCATTGTCTTTTTAAATATTTATATTACAAAGAATATTTTTTTTTGAGAGATTTTCACTGTAGGGCGCGTGCGCTCGTCAGAAAGACAGAGAGAGACATAGAGACAGAAAGCGAGAAATCACCCCCCAGGGGGGATGGTCACGCCGCAATCCCTTCTCCTCCATTCTCCTCTCGGGATCTTGGGCACGCACACACACGCGCCCGGCGTGAGTTTTAAGCCACCGGGTCTGGGACACAAACCGCGGTCGACTACGTGGGAGTCCAGCGACATAGCCATTACGCTAACTGCTGGTTCCCACAAAGAATAATTTTTAAAAATCATTTTTAAATGAGAAATTTTACTAACTTCCAATAACATTTTGCAAGTGCATTTCATAGTTCAGAAAACAAGATGAACACTGTAGTTTTCACTGATGTCCTTTCTCTGCTTTACTCTAATTATTTTTTGACAGTAAATCCACGTATGTGTTTTGACTAAATTTTATCTGACTATGTGGTACACAAGATCACAAGGAGTTTTATTTACAGTTTAAGTTCTAAAATTTTAACAAAAATTAAGCAACTCAGTTTAGTAAAATGAAATTATGATCAAGTTAGTTGGGTTTAAATTCCAATCTTCTCGGAACCAGCAGCTGAAGCAATGGCTATGTTGCTGGACTCCCATGTAGTCGACCATGGTTCAAGTCCTGGACCTGGTGGCTTAAACTCACGCCAGGCACGTGTGTGTGTGTGTGTGTGTGTGTGTGTGTGTGTGTGCCCAAGATTCCGAGAGGAGAATGGAGGAGAAGGGATTGCAGCATGGCCATCCCCCCTTGGGGGTGATTTCTCTTTTTCTGTCTCCCTCTGTCTTTCTGGTGAGCACATGTGCCCTTATAGCAAAAACCTCTCAAAAAAAAAAAAAATCCAGTCTTCTCTCATGCTATTTTCACTAAATATTTGAGTTTTCTGAAATATTTTTTTAATTGATGTATACAAAATGTAGTTAGGTTTTTCTGAAATTGGCTTTGTACTTATCAAGCTGACTATTGGCTTTAGATAAATAGTAACATTTTAAATCATAGTATGGCAAAATTACATGTACTTTTGGATATAAAAGAAATATAAAATAATGACAAATTTCAGCCTTCTAGGCTGATAATTAAGACAAATTGTTCCCAAGGGAATTTGGTCTCTATTTTGTATTTTCAGAATTTTTGGCAATATGCACACAGTATTTTGTATTTTCAGAATTTTTGGCAATATGCATACAATACCTTCTTAATCAGCAATAACAATAAAGCTTTAAAAAATATACATACTACTTAGAAACAGTTTACTTACAACGGTTTAAACTCTGGCCCAAAGAGACCACTGTAAAGTATAATTAATAGATTAAAAAACTTTAAAATGGTATTAATTTACATTTACTGACCTTCTTGGGTGAAGAACAAAATCCTTAAATGTATAGGGTCTCTCCATTCTTGGATTTTCTGTCTAGAATAAAACAGTGGGTTTTCAAGATAAAACACCAGAAATACGTACTTTTTAAGTATATTCATGAACTAAGGCATAACTGAAGTAACAAGGGAGGAAAACGTAGCTTTAGTTCATTTATTTATTTATTTTTAAAGAGATTTTTGCTATAGGGTGCATGCACTCACCAGAGAGACAGAAATAGAAACAGGAAGCAAGAGATCACCCCACGACGGGATGGTCATACCGCGATTCCTTCTCTTGTCTTCTCCTGGGATTTTGGGCACGCACCACAACATGCCCAGCTTGGTCCTCTAATTTCATCTCTTTTATTTGACTAGCCCATTATTTTAAGCTGCCAGGTATGGGACTTGAACTGTGTTGGACTGCGTGGGAGTCCAGCAATGTAACCATTAGGGCATCTGCTGGTCCCAAAGCTTTACTTTATTAAATGTTTACGGTTGGTACTTTGACTGCTGCCATTTTTCTAAACAGGAATTGTGGACAGCATCAGGACTCAGACTAAAACTAACTGAGCAGGTGGACCTGGCGGCAAGAGGACAGCAGAGAACAAGTAGAAAACAGTATGGAGTGGCTAGGACACTTGCATCCCCAAGGCCTATGCAGTATGTCCAGTGTGAGCAGATTGGCTTGACTGGAGCATAGAGCCAATTCTGTCAGAACGAAAAAGCAAACGGCCTAGAAAGTAAGACTGGACAGTACATGCTAATGAAAAACTACAATCTCTAAGACTGTAGAGAGTCAGTAAGTATCTTACAAGATGGACGAAGCGAAGAAGTACTGTATATGTTTCTTTTTGTTAAAGTTTGGGAGTCTGTTTACATAATCCTTTATCTGTTGTCTACTTTGATGACAATCCATTTTGGCTTCAAACTCTTCATAAAGTCTTATAACATGATTTTACTTCGTCTTTTTAAAAATTTTAAAATTTTTTTTAAGTTTACTTATTTATTTACCTCATGAGAGAGAAAGAAAGAGGACCTGAACCTGTATCTGGTGTGATCTTGTAGACCTTGCTTAAGCACCTCGAGGCTTCCCAAATAGCCTCCCGCAGCACGGCCCACTGCCTGTGCCATCCCGGCCTGTCTCCTCTGTCTGTCTTCTTTTTTTCCTCTGATCTAAGCACATGGACTAAGCTGCCATGCTTGGCCCTCTAATTTCATCTCTTTTATTTGACTAGCCCATTATTTTCATTCTACTGTCACCTGGATAGCAATCACCCTGAATCCTTCCAGTCCCTTTTCTTTACATAACTAACTTTTATATCTCTTAGTGATCTACTTGAAACTTCAATTTTTTTTCTATTTTCAGAAATTTTTCGGTTTTTCTTAATTCAATACAGTTGAACCTCCACATCAGCAAGTTCCACATTTGTGAATTCAACCAACCACAGATCAAAAATGTTGATGTGAACATATACTAAGTAATTAGGTCTAAGATCTTTGTGCCTGTACTACATATACAGACATTTTTGCTTGTGATTGTTCCCTAC